TCCAGTAGAAGGTAAGGATGACTGGCTGAGCCTCTTGACATGCCTTAGACCAGTGTTAAGATGTGTGGACTTCAGTTCCCAGAATTTCTGAGCCAGCATGCTGGCTGGGGAATTCTGGGAGTTGAAATCTATACATCTTAAAATTGATGAGGTTGAGAAAACCTGCCTTAGACTATCTAGTTGGGGACATTAGCTCTTTTACCAAGGACTTCTCCATCCCAGCAATAGGAAAATAGAGTACAGAAGGTGCTATAGATCTTCCCACTGAAAACCTAGAAATACAAAACCAAGTAGACCTTCTGCCAGTCCTGAAATATAGGGATAGCTCTGTAACAATGCATAAGCATACCGACCCACAAGGAATGTTTTAATAAGAATTATCCTTTTGAAGCCAGCACAGAGAAATTTTTAGATATTAAAAAAAAAAGAGCTTGTCATTGGAAAAAGGGAAATTACAGGAAAAACAAGGAAAGGCAATAGTTGCACATCCAGAATTCCAAATAAAATCAGTGCTGTCAGCCTGGCTAAACTAGTTACTTACTGCCTTCTTGAATAAGATCTTAGATATCAGCAGATTCAAGGTTCAAAACAGAATGGTTGGAAAGAGATCAACATCTGGGCCTTCTGTTTAGGTATTTTTAGGCAAGCCCTGTTCCTCCTTTTTTGGATGATAATTGAAAGCCTGGGGAAAGATAATTGAAGGCTTGGGGAAATTGACTGTTACTTTATCCAGTCAAGCAAAATGCTTCATTGCCGATGTCCTTGGTCCAGTCAGCAAATTATGAATTATTTTGTAGCTGAACTTACCTTCCTAACAAATCTTGGTGGAGAGAGAAATGATACAGAGATAAATAAGTTTTCAGCAATTTCATCAAAAGGACTATATGGGAGAATTTAATCTAGTTTCACCTCAGCATGAGGTGACACTATCAGGTACTATGTTTTGGGGGGAACACTATTGGCCATATCAGAAATTAGGGGTTTGTCACACATACCAGTAATAGTTGCAATACAAGGGTAATTGCACTGGACCACTGTTCATTAAATATCTGTTCATCAACCATGATGGTGCCCTAGCATGAATGGCTACGTGGTGCATCCTATGCTGCATCCTACTGTTCATGGATTAACATTGATTCACAAGTTCTCACTAACAAGAAGGGGGGTTGGGTTCAACAGCATGCTGGGTGGATAAGTTCGCTCCAAGCAAACCCATCCCAATCTTTTTGACTGGTTTCTTGTGATCTGTTAAGAACATGCCAGATAAAGAATCACTGTGGTCTGTTAATTGCAGTCCAGAATTGTAGACAACTAGAAACCACTAGCTTAAACCCATTTGAAACCTGTTTATAATTTAGATGTTATATATCAGTATCAATCCTGAATGAGGGTATGTGTTAATGTTGCCTAGAGACATATAAATTCTCTTCCCTCGACTGACTACAACTCACGTGAAGTCCTGGACATACTGAAGAGAAATGTACTGCTCATATTTGGCCCACCTGTTGCTTTAATGACAATTTTTGGAAAACCCATACTTGGATCAAGGAAATCAGTGGTTTATTTGATGTATCATCAAAGCTGTAGTTGACCTTGATGAGTCATAGCTACATTTTGAAAAGGAAAAAAATGGGACAGAGGTGATCTTGCAGAGATCAGCCCAACAAGGTAAACTAAATAAAGATATCCGCAAAAATAAAAGTGCCACCATATGAGGGTTTGAGGGAGCTGAGAGAACAGTAATATGAGAGACAGAGACAGAGACAAAGACAAAGACAGAGAATGAATGATGCATGCATGCATGCATGCTGAGCAATTTGGGATCTGTTGAGAGGTTAAGTATACCTATAACTCTCCAGATGAATTCACTGTCTCTGCTCTTCCCACTCTGCCACCCTGCTTGCCATGCATGGCAGGAAATGCAGGGGGAGACAAGAAGCAGAATGGGTCTTTTGTTGCCAGTTTGCCAGTTCTATGGAGGCACCATGTCTTCTGCTGGCAGTAACTGGCACTGAAGAAGGCATTCCCCACCCTGTTCCTCTCTCTTCACTCTTTCTTGTGCAGAAAGAATCCTCCTTCTGCTTTGTTCCCAGGGCAAAATAGAGGTTGGAAGTACGGTTGGCACTTTTTTAAGCCAGCATAGTTTTCTGCTGCTGCTTGTACTGGATAACAGCACTTTAGTGCTGCCATGCAGAATAGCCCTATACACCTATTGCTTTCTGCAACTGTAGCAGAATTTAGCAGTATCCTAGCATGTTGACATACATTAAAAGTAGAAATGCACCATTAGTTTGAAATTTTATCTTTTGTAAAGGTAGGAAGTGTACGTTTGGGGGAAACAGCCTAATGGATAACTGTGGCTGCAGGATGCCCTCCTCATGGTGCTCTGGCAGAGTGAAATAACAGAGGTGGCACCTGGAATTGGGGCTTCTGAATTTTTGCCAACTAGCTATGGAACACATTTCTTAAAGACATTATTGAAGGCTTTTTCTAATGGTCCTTTGGGACTTGGGTTTATTTTCCTAGCTTTTCAAATAAATGATTTTAACTCCTAATCCATTGCGTATCAATCATGTCCTTCAGCTGTGCAGTTCAAGGGGCTGGTAGTTATCTATAAAGCCCTACATGGCATATGGCCTGGTTACTTGAGTGACCGCCTATCTCCCATAGTATCTGTCTGGAGGATTCAATCTGGTAGGGTTGGTGCGCTTCGGGTTCCTTCAATTAAACAATGCCATCTATCGGGACCTTGGAAGCATACCTTCTCTGTGGCAATGTCTGCCCTCTGGAATGAGGTTCCCCCTGAGACCTGGATGGCCCCACTCTGCTGGTGTTTTGAAGGGCACTGAAACTTGGCTTTTTGCCCAGGCCTTTGGTGAGGATGACTAAAGCCTGTTTTGGGTTGTTTTCCTTTGTTTCTGTCTGTTTTTGTCATCCTGCCATCTTTACGATTCTTTTTGTTTCTTGCTGTTTTTCTTCTTTTTAATGTTGTAAACAACTTGTAAACTGCCAAGAGTTGCTGAGAGTCAGATGGCATATACATTTATTTTATATGCCACAACAACAACAACAGATTACCTTAGTCTCAAGATGTTGGTAAACTATCAGAGCTATCTAATAAAGCCATGTTGCTTGGTAGGGGATGAATGGGTAGATCCAAGATATATTAGCAAGACCTGATGGGTAAGAGTGGGGATGTAACCCACTCAGAAATCTGCATTCCTTGGTTTTGGGTCCTTTATCAGTCATGACCCCAAGGAAAGGAATGGTTGTGTGGCAATGTTCTGCAACTGTGATAGTGACCCTACTCTGGAGCGTGAAGTTGAGCTGCAGGGACATGTTGGGGTTCCTGCTCACGCACCATATGTCCTGCTGCCTGGCAGAATCCATCCTGAGCTTCTGGACCTTGTGACTGGGATGTTTTTGAAATTCCCCAGCTATATTGGGGGATTTCAGCCTCTGTGCCTTCAGGACAGGGGCAGGAAAGACTTAGGAATTCATGGTCTCCATGGCAACCATGGGCTTGCCACCAGTGAACTAGAGCCTGATCACACAGGTGGACATACATCTCATTTTTGCTTAGGAGCACTTATGTGATCTTTGGAGGACTTTGCTTTGAGCCCTTTGGCATGGTCAGATTACTTCCTGTCCAGATGAGATTTGTTGCCACCCTAGCCCTCCTCAGAGTAGGAGAATTAATCAGGATGGTCCACCTGGGTGCCTTATGGATCCAGATGGATTCCAGCAAGCACTTGGGAATTTTCCTAGCACTTTGACTAGCAGTTATGTTAGGTATTTGCTGAAGGGTTAGAATTGGAACATGATCAACGTGCTTGATGAGATTGCTCTCAACCACTACTTCAGGTTGCCTGGGTTGGGGTGTGTGAGTGGCTGACTCACTGCTGATAACTGCACTCAAGATCTGTTCACAATTGTCAGTTTTCTCACATTTGAGTATTAACTTTACTACTCATATTAATACTTGTATGCTTCAGTTAACTGATCCATTTTCATGAATCAGACTTTGGCCAGCCAATTGGTGATGAATATAGGGAGGCTATGGTCTATCATCTCTGTAGACCACCAATGGTCTACAGAAAGTAAGTGTGTGTGTGTGAAAGAGGGAGAGAGAGGGAGGGAAGGAAGGAAGGAAGGAGGGAGAGTGTCAGTTTGGTTTATTAGTTAAAGCACCGGACTAGGAGAGGGGAAACCCAAGTTCTAATCCTGCACTAGGCTTGAAGCCAGCTGGTTGACTTTGGGCCAGTCACACACTCTCAGCCTAAGAAGAAGGCAATGGCAAACCACTTCTGAAAATGTTGCCAAAAAAAATGCATGGACTTGTCTGTGTAGTTGACTGACTTGAAGGCTATATGTGTATGTATGTGTGTGCACGCGCACGTGTGTGTGTATACACACACACATGCACCAATGACACATGAAAATAAATAGAATAAATGTGTTCTATTTGAAAAGAATGAATGAATGAATGAATGAATGAATGAATGAATGAATGAATGAATGAATGCAAGTTTCTAAATTTGAGTCCCCTTTGGAGCTTGGGGTCAGGTGGATTTTCATGCTCCCACCCTATCTTGGTTAGGGTTTGAACACTGCTTTACACAGAATGATTCCTTTCTTGTTTGCTTTTTAAAATATTATATCAAAACCAACCACATTAGGCATATATGGATATTTGTACATTGTATTATTTTTTTTTTTTAAACCGCTCTAAAGCAATACTTATTCTCAAATGAGATGTATAGTTTTATACAGAGAGACTTCTAAAGAGGACCATCAGGGGTAAGAGAAAAATTACTGAATTACATCTCTGTGGATAAAATACTGAAATACAGATTCAAGCCAATTCAGTGGGCTCAGAAATGTAAGAACTCATGTCCAGTGATTTCTTTCCAGTTTATAGTGAAAGTAGCTATTATAATGATGTGTACCAACCCTTGGCCTTAAAACTCGTTCAGCAATTGGTATTTTCTGCTTTCCAGCATGGGCGGACACCTCTCCATCTTGCAGCTTACAAGGGTCATCTCCGTGTGGTCCAGATTCTGCTCAAAGCAAGCTGTGACGTGGATCTTCAGGATGATGTGAGTAGTCACAACCATTCTTGCAGGAATGGGAGCTTTTCTCTTTTGTAAACTTAAGAATCAGCTATATGTGGTCCATTTTGGAGACTGTCTGCCTGGAAAATATGTTTGCTTTCTTTTATTGATTCCAAACCTGTCTGGGTCAACCTGCAAGGGGCATCAGCAAGTACAATGACAGTGCAGATGAACTACCTTAGCCCTTCTTTTCAAAAGCCTAAGTGAATGCCTTTCAGATACTTTTTAAAATGGCTGCAGGAAGAAATGAGTGATAAGTAAATTAAGAACTAGTGTTATAATCTGCTGGAAGCATGTTAGACATTTTTTTAAAAATTCATTTGCCCTTCCATCAAGGACGTTGGAAGAAGCTGAGTAGGAGTTTGTACTTTGAAGAAGCCAAAATGTCAATTAATTCTTTTCACAGCAGTTCTGTTTGGCTGTCTTCGAGCTGTCAATGTGTATACCTCTTGCAGTCGCATTAAAAGTGTGAAACCTAGGCCAGGAATGTTTGTATTTATTAGTGCATATCGTTAGTGCATGAAATCAAGGTACTTTGGGGCATAAGTGTTCATGATTTATTTTTTGCACCCTTTGTGGATTAAACTTGGCCATTTTCAGCCTTTAAGAAATATGTGAGTTCATGTACATATATACAAATAGCAGCTTTGTTACTGTTCACAGTATTTGCAGAATCCAATTGTTACTAAAGCTGTGCAGCATTCATCCCAACAATGTTGTTAGCTTAGATCAAAAGTTAATTAGCTGGGGAAAATATTCAAGTGATTTTAACTTGAAAATGATTAATATTTATTTGATTAAATAATCACATTCTCTTTTTCTGTAGCCCCTACCTCCCATTCTTTGTCTGCTGCTTTTGATAAACTATAGTTGTGCACAAATGCCCATCTTCTTTTAGATCAAGACCACGTGGATTTTTATATACTCACCTTGTGCAAGATATTTGGACTCTCTTTTATTGTATTTTCTACCCTGCATTTTCTTCAGAGAGCTTATGCTGATATACATGTTTTCCCTCCCTCAAGTATATCCTTACAGCAATCCTGTGAGATAGGTCAAACTGAGTGGAACTAAATGGTGCCAAGGACATACAAACTGAGTGAGGACTTGAAATCATGTCTTCTCAGTGCTAGTCCAACATTTGCCTATAAGTATGATTAATAATGCAGCTTTGCAGCAACCAGGGTTACTAATATTTCCAACTTTCAAGAGACTATCTTTTTTGATTTTTTTTTAAATTGAGCCATGGAAGTCATTAATTATTTTATTTTTAAATATCCAACTGTAAACCATTTATTTATTTATTTATTTATTTATTTATTTATTTATCCAATGTATATGGCTACCCATCTCAACAAGTGACTCTGGGCAGCAAATCATAATTACCCAGTTAAAGTATCCTCTGCCAAATGATGTAAAGGAACTTGTTAAATGTGGTAGAATATTTAAAATGCTGACTTCATGTTCTGCAGATGTTGATCGTTAACATATTGTTAAAGACCTAATCATTAGTTGAAGAATGACCTCCAGTGACCTTGAATGGGATTATTATGAATTTCAGCCTGTGGATACCAGCTTTCTAGAATATGAAACCCCAAGAAGTAATTCTTTCCTTCTCCCTGCTAATCCTGCAAGCCCCTATTGGAATCCAGATGCCATCTCTGATTGGTCAAGGAGTGTTCACACAGCACATACCTCAGAAATAGTCAAGGGAACAGTGGTCCTGGTAAAAGAAGTCAAGGAAGAAAAAGATAAGAAAAAACAGAGGAAAAAGGCTAGAAAAGATCCTAGAAGATTGCAAAGAGAGAAAGAGGTTAGAACTCTTTTCAGCTTGCATGTAGCATTCGGACTGGCCATCTGGCATGTCAGATCTACTTCAGAAATGCATGGTTGCATGTCTCCCTTACTTACTATGATTCACCACAAAGTTATCTACCTTTTGCAAAGAGTTCTACTGTCTATTTTGGGGTTCCCTGATCTAAGTGAATGTATCCCAAGTACCAAAGGATGTTGTTTCAATTTATATAGACTCATCCCTAAACAAGGAATCTGAGGGCTTTGTACATGAGTCACTCGCAGGTCACCCTGATGTTCTATAAGCATTTTTAATGTCTGCTTTTGGTAATAAATTGGGTTGTAGTGAATTTAAGGGCTGTTATCTCAGGCATTGTCCCTAACCATGATAATGCCCAAATGATGACTTATGCAAGTAAGCTCCATCCGTTCATTTTTATGTCACAGTGTTGCACACAAGTATGTACTAGTATGTACATAAAATGGAATGATCATAATACAGATTTTATCACTTCTGTCCCCCTGCCTCCTTGGATGAATATGATCTCAAGATAATTGTTCAGATAAACCGCTTGACATTTAGTATCCAGAGCAGTTGAAGAATACATACTATCTATGGGACCAATGCTCACTTATGAGTAGTTGCTCAATTTTGTGAAATGGTTGAGGGTGTTTGGTTAGGACTATTGACTGTGGATGTTTAAAATGGTTAAACTGTCAATGCATTTACAGTACCTACCTTCCCAAACTGCAGGGGGGTTTGGCAGTGGTGGTGGGCTTTCTGTAGTCCCATTTACCGATTGTTGTTGTTGTGTTGTTTTATTTTCCATTTTTGTGGATCGCTGAATAAGTTAAAAAAGAATGCTTGAGAAAATTCAGGAAGTCTTTATTCTCGTCAACTGGATTGCTATTTTCCAATCTAACAAATAATGAGATTATTTATTTCAGGGACCAAATCAATGTTACCCCGAATAGGCAGGACTGTTCTCTTATTTTAAATGGTCAAGATAGTGGGACTATATATTTTTATATTGCCATTTGTACATTAACACAGTTTAACAGTAGAATTACATATTAAGCACAACAGCTAGCCTCCAATTGCTATTGCACTCAATGGGACTTGCTTCATTCTGAATTGCCATAGAGTGTAAAGAAGATTCCTCCTTTGACCCAGAGAAGTGGCTGACAGAGACTGTGCAACTTCTTAAGAGTTCCTACTTAGAAATATATTAAGGAAAGATAAATGAGAACAACTCTTCTTGCTAAGCAAAAAAAGAACATTGAGCCCTATAGGTGATTTTTAGGTAGTCAGTATTGACTAACTGAGCATCAGATATTTTACTGGGGTGGGGGCTAAGTGTGGGTGGAAAGTGAACTAATGATTAAGCCTAGTTGCTCTTCTTTCTATCCCTACCCTATCTCCTTTCAAAACGCATGACGCAAATTGGACTAAGAAAGGGAATAGACTACAGGTAGTCCTCACTTAACTACAGTAATTGGGACCATGGTTGTAAAGTGTGATGTCATGTGATTGCGCCACTTAGCAATGAAAATTCTGGCACTTCTGGTTGCCGTTGTTAAGCAAATCCTGTGCTGTCATTAAGCACAATGTCATGTGGTCACCACTGACTTTTCTTGTAGGAAGCTGGCAAAGAATGTCACAAATGGTGATCACGTGACTGCAGGATGCTACAACTGTAAGTATGAAGGCCAGTCATAAGTACCACTCATTCAGCACAGTTTTAAGTTTGAATGGTTGCCAAACAAAAGTGGTCTTTAAGCAAGGACCACCTGTGTTAATCTTTCCTCATAATCTCTTGAAAACTCTATTATACAGTGGAACCTTGGTTTATGAACTTAATTTGTTCCGTGACTGGCCGCAACCGGAATTGGTCGCAACCCGAAGCAAATTTCCCCATAAGGTTTAATGTAATTACCGTTAATCCGTTCTGGCGTGGAGGACAGGGAGGCGGCTATTGCTTGGAGGGAGAGTCCCCCTCCCTACGACCATGTGTCAGGGGCGG